GCACGCATTATTCATTTTCAAAATCGCTTCACAAATGCTAAACCTCTTCTAAAAAGCATGAGGGCACTTGATATTTATGAACTAAATATTTTCAAAATTACACAATTTATGTTTCAACATAAGTCAAAAAAACGCCGAAGGTTTTTGAAAATATTTTCCATAAAACATTAAACCAACTCGCGCTCTACCGAAAGATTTAAAAAACCTTTCCGTACATCAAAATTACAAGCTTTGCCGTTTCCTATAGTGGTCCAATGCTATCGAACCATTTTACAAGCCTGATTGGTAAACTGAAAGAAGCCAATACCACTCGAAAATTTAAAAAGAACATAATTGAACTTATTGCCAATCAAGATTCTTTACATGATTTTTTTCTAACAATACACTTTTATTTCCAATTTTTATTATCAAATGTTACTGATGATAAGATTTTATCTTCTTTAGGTTCTCCGGTTTTGTAACTATTATAAATGATGAAATGTACTTGTATTTAATATTTTTAAATATTTTATCGGAAATTACTTTTAATTGTAAATGGTTGTTTGACAAAAAAAAAATTAATATATAAAAATAAAATTACAAATTAGCTAGTAATTATTTTCCTTATAACATTAAACTTGTTTAAACATGGCATAGCTACATTCTAAAATCCTATGACATTGTGTAATTTAAAAAAAAACCTTCATGATTTGTTATAGTAAAATACCTTGAGCGCTAAAATATTTATAATTGCAGTACATGTATTTTGCAATATGTAGTACATAAAATCTTGGAATAGAATGTTAAAAACTTTTTTAAGCAATTGATATTATCTCTAGATAGCTAGATCTAAAAAATAGAAAATTTTACTTTTGTAAGTGCAAAAGCTTCGGCTTTGGCAGAGTGACTTCGGCCGAAGCTTCGGCTTCGGCAAAATCTTAGCTTCGGTACATTCCTAATACATATATCAACCCTCAGAATTAGAAAAATTGAGGTCGGCCTCAATATTTTTGAAATCAGGACGGCAAAAATTATTTGATAAAAATGTCTGACCATAAAACATAGAAACGAGGTCTGCAATTTTTTGTTGACCTTTAACACTTTCAGGTCGGCAGTTAGGTCGGCATTGTCGAATGCCGACCATAATTCCAAGGTTTGATATATATATATATATATATATATATATATATATATATATATATATATATATATATATATATATATATATATATATATATATATATATATATATATATATATATATATATATATATATATATATATATATATATATATATATATATATATATATATATATATATATATATATATATATATATATATATACATATATTATATAAAGAGTTTGATTATTTCAAAAAATAAAAAATTTGTGATGGAACTTAATGTCAATCATCAGCCATATTTTGCTCTTTAAATTAAGAAAAAACCGTTTAAAAATACAAAATACAGAAATTAACAGAAAAAACCCATAGCAAACCAATGGAAATCAATTTATCAGTTTTAAATCAATCTATCAGTTTTCTTTTAAAGACATTTGAAAACCTATTAGATCAGCATGCTCCATACAAAAAACTAACTAAGCAGCAAATTAAACATAAATCAAAACCATGGATCACCAATGACATACTTAAATCTATTTCCATTAAAAATAGACTATATAAAAAATGCACAAAATGTAAAGATATCAGTACTAAAAATAAACTGTTGTCTAAATTTAAATTTTATAGAAACAGAATCAGCAATCTACTAAAAGTTATTAAAAAATCCTATTACACTACCTATTCTAGTAAAAACTTAAACAACATTAAGAATACATGGAAAGAGATAAAAGAAATCATTAATATAAAGCCTTCCTTCTATAATTCAACTCTCATTCTTAAATTGAAAGAAAATATTATCACAGATCAAACTACTGTATCGAATATGTTAAACAACTTTTTTGTTACTATCCAAAACAAACTTCAAAAAAAAATCATACCTTCAACATCCAAATTTACTGAATATATTAACTCTCCAAATTCTAAATCATTCTTTTTTGATCCTGTCACAGAGAATGAAATCTCTAATCTTATTAAAACCACCCTTAGAATTGGAAAAAGCTTTGGTCCTAATAGCCTTCCTTCATTCCTTTTTAAACTTATTCTAGACATAATTTCTAAACCTCTTAGTGTTATTATAAATAACTCATTTTAAAATGGTTTATTGCCGGATGCTTTTAAAATTGCTAAAGTCATTCCGATATTTAAAAAAGGTTCTACATTAGATATGTGCAACTACCATCCTATCTCTCTTCTTTCAAACCTAAGTAAACTCTTTGAAAAAGCTATGTATAAGAGGCTCTATGCATTTTTAATTAAATTTAAATGCCTTTACAAACACCAGTATGGGTTTCGTGCTAATCATTCTACAACCCACTCACTTATTAAAATTACTGAGTCTGTTAGAAAAGCTCTTGACAATAAAAACTTTGCATGTGGTGTCTTTGTAGATCTACAAAAAGCTTTTGATACAGTATATCATTCTATCCTACTCAAGAAATTCGAATTTTATGGAATCAGAGAAATACCTTTTAAATGGTTTACTTCATATCTTCACAACAGATCTCAGTTTGTCTCAGTCAATGACTCAAAATCTACTCAAATAAGTTGTTCCAAATGTCCCTCAAAGCTCAGTATTAGGACCACTATTTTTTCTTCTCTATATTAATGACTTTAATAACTCAATTAAGTTTGCAACTCCTTATCACTTTGCTGATGATACTAACTTTCTCATTATCAACAAATTTTAAAAAAAAATTAACACGTACATTAATCATGATCTTGCCAATCAAGTTCAGTGGCTTCGCTAAAATAAGCTTTCTCTCAACTGTAGCAAATCTGAACTAGTCATATTCAAATCTAATAAAACTAAAATCAATAAAAATTTAAACTTTAGATTAAGTGGCCAGAAAGTCATTCCTGTAAACTCTATCAAATACCTTGGAATTATAATTGATTCTAACCTATCGTTTGTGTCCCATATTAAAGACTTAGCCATAAAATGGAGCAGATCAAATGGAATGCTGGCAAAAGTTCGCCATTATGTCAATCTGGAAACACTATTAAATTTATATCATGCCATTTTTGGCTCACATATACGATATGCTTGTCAAATATGGGGACAATCTTAACAGCAAGCAGTTTTAAGGGTATCACATCTTCAAAACAAAGCTTTAAAAATAATACATTTTCAGAATTACAAATTCAATCCTAATGTGCTTTATCTTACTTCTAAGATCTTTAAACTGTTAATAGATCCAAAGATCTGTAATAGTGTTTAAGTGTTTGTGATACACACATGCAAATAAGTGGTGAGTGTATATGTATGTATATTTATTTGTGTGAGTGTGTGTATGTGGTATATATATGTGTGTGAGTGTATATGTATGTGTATATATATGTGTGTGAATGTGTGCATGCGAATATGTGTTGTTGTATATAATATATACATATATAATATTATTAAATGTGTGTATATGTATTCATGTTTGTATATGTGTATGTATGTATGTATGTTATGTTATGCTATGTTTGTATATGTGTATGTATGTGCGTATATGTATGTGTGTATGTATATGTACGTGTGTGTATATACGTTTATTTGTGTATAGTATATACGAATCTACATATATGGGTGTATATTATGTTTGTATACAACTAATGTATACATACCTGTATTGAATACAGGAGGATATAAGTATATGTGTATATATGTATTTGTAAACGTAAGTTTGTATGTGTGTTTGTATTTGTATATTTGTATGTGTCTGTATATGTGTGTATTTATGTGGCTAATACTAAATTACTAGTATTTTTTTTTATGATTATTGTAATTATTTTGATTTCTGTCATTTTATTTTTATTATAATCACTGTACTTTTATCATTGTATTGTTATTATTATCTTTATTAGTATTTTTACTCCTTCAACTTTTAATGTTCGTTTTGTTACTGCTGTGGATGATTAATATTACTATTTGCATTAATCGATATATTTATTAGCTTTTATTTACAAGGTTTTTACTTAAGATTAGTACATGTACTATTTGTAAACTTCCGTAAAAGTAACAACTATTTCAGAATATATATGAATTGAATTGAATTGAATTGGAATGAGTTCTGACGTCAAAACAAACAATTTTTTGATAAATTAGAAAATTGCTTAATCACCCGTGTTGAATAGGGCGAGAAGAAACTTGTTTCGATGCCTGCACTTGGATACCATTTCACTTTTTTTGTTTAGCAGATTTTTATTTTTGGAAAATTAAATTTCATATTTTTCGTTTGTGCATAGTTTGCAGGACTTCGTGGTTGAGTTGTATGCATTGTACTGCTTAAATATTTTCCATTTAACAACTGGGTTTAAGTTGGCATCTTTTAATTTCCAAAATTCTTTTAATAAAACGGTGTCAATTTTGTATTTTAGAATGCCAACTATTTAAATGACTTTAAATGGTTGGCATATCTGATTTTGAATAGTGTTTCACTTATACCGATGTAGGATTTGTTGACAGGAGTGTTAGTAGGATTATTGGAACTTATATTGACTTGGTATACAATGTTTTTTGTTAAGCATTAGTTTAATAAAAGGCAGGTATTTTGATTAAGGCAATTGCAGTTGGCTTCAGTGATATTTTCGTACACGAGAACGAAAACGAGAACGAAAAAAAAAGCCTTTCGTTTACGAAAACGAAAACTAAAACGAAATTTATTTTAAGAACGAGAACAGAATAAAAACGATAATTTTAAATTTTCGAACGGAATAAAAACTGAATCGAAAATTATTTTAAAACGAAATATTTTCGTTCTAGATTTGAAACGAGTTGAATTATTTGATATATATAATTATTATATTACAATACATTATAATGATATATTATTCGAACTTAATTGAATTTTACTCAATTAAGTTCGAATAAGTTTAGTTATGATATAGTTCGAATATATTTATTCGAATATATTTTTTTGAACTAAAAAAAATCAAACTGTAAGACCAACACAACTACGCGATGAGTTTGAGTAAACTTTTTGCTGGTAGGAAGAGGAATAGTTCAGTATGGAAATGGTTTAAATACGATGCGTCATCCGACAAATCAGTATGTTTAGTTTTACTTGATGGTGAAAAAGTATGCAATACAAAGTTGTGTGGAAAGAAACCAACAAATCTTAAAGTTAGTTTATCTGTTAGAGGATATATTTTCATTTTGAAACAAACGACTCATTTTTATCATTTTAGAGTAATTATTCAATAACGTATACGAACTTATTTATACATTAATTGATGAACAGATAGATAAATAAACATATAAATATACAAACAAAAAATTATATAAATATGTTTATTTTTTTCTAGCTACATTTAGCAAGAAACCATAAGTCTGTACACGTTGAGCTGGAAGAGTCGGAATTAAAGAAATTAAGTGAAAAAAAGCAAACAGGGATAAAGAGAAAAGCAGTGGATGAAAATGGACCCACTCTTTTAGAATCGTCCTCAAATCAGAACCAGACCTTGATTCAATGCATTAATCGTAGGAATACCGCATGGCCTATTAATTCACACGAGCATAAAATTCGACTAAACTCTCTTATTCAAATGATAATTGCAACATGTAATCCAGTGACATTGGTGGATAATGCGAGTTTTAGAAAGTTAGTTAACACCTTGGATTATAAATTTTCATTGCCTGCTTCTGCCAAAATTACTAGCCTACTTAATGAAGAATTTACTGTTTTAACGAGAAAACTTCGTGACTTCATATCTGAAGGCTGGCGCTTCACAATATGCCTTGATGGCTGGACTAAAAAAGGTCTTACTGCGTCCTTTTTAGGAATTTCGGTTTGTTTTTTTTCACTTCAAATCCGAAAAACCAATACATGCTCTGCTTAATTTGTATCTTGTGAAACATCCACATACAGGTGAACAAATTGCTAATTGTTTTGAAAAATGCCTAAAATATTGGAATATTTCCAGAGAAAAAATATTGCTTGTTATTTCGGACAATGGAGCAAACATGGTCAAAGGCATAAAGTTGTCGAGAATGAAAGCTCAAGCTGAACGTGATATACTTATTGAATTAGAAAGTGAGGTTAATGAAGAGCAGATAACAGATCTGGAAGACGATGAGAATATGACAAATAGTGAAGAGTGGGAACATGTTGACTTGATAGTTGATGTAATAGAAAACGTAGCATTTAGAAGATTGGGATGCATTGCACATGTTATACAGCTAGTTGTAAAACTTGCATATGATGGTAAATATCATGGCTTACTTTTGGTACGTGGATTAGTGGGAAAAGTTCGCAAATCTTCTGTTGCATTGGAAAAAATTATCAACAAATGTGGTAAGACTGTGATCAGCGACTGTTCTACAAGATGGAGCAGCACTTACTTTATGGTTCGGAGATTTCTGGAAATAAAGACATCTATCAACGAAGTGCTTGGAGACCTTAACATTGATTCACTTGCCAATAGCGAATGGATAATGCTTCAGGATTTTGTCAATCTTTTAGAACCTTTTGCCAATGAAACTGATATTCTTCAGACGGATGCACTTTCACTATCCAGTGTTATACCTTCAATACTTAATTTAGAATGTCACCTTGAGCAATTTGGAGATGCCAAAGATGTAGCAGTTAAAATGCTTGAAGATCTACGCCGTCGTTTTGCCGTTCTTTTGCAGCCAAACGATCCTAATTTTAATCCACTGCCATGTGCCGCATGTCTACTTGACCCCACATGTGCAATAGCTCTTTTAGGTAATGAGCATACACAAATCAGAGAGTTTTCTTAAAACTAAATTCTCATCTAGTCTAGATGATAATCATATAATCACTAGGCCCTTTATTTGTAAAATATATGAGTAATTATTAAAGTCTATACAATAACTATTCATTAGTTTTTATTGTTACCAAATTTGAGGAGTTTTTTTTATACCTAATAATTAAAATTTTTTTAAGTTTTAGAGCAATAAGGACAGGTTGTTGTTGTGTTTTTTATTAAGGGCGGTGGGCGGGGCTCTAAACTTCTAGCCATGGGACTGGGTTTATTACATTTAATTAAGTTCTCATTTTTTTGTTTGTTTATAGAACTAAGACTTACTTCTTTTAATTATATATGCCTATATTATTTATAAATTATACTAAATTATAATTATATGAGATAAAAAATTTATACGACAAACGAAAATTGAACTAAATAAAAACTAAAACTAAAATTATTTTAAGATGAACTGAATAAAAACTAGAACTTAATTTATTTACTGAACTGAATAAGAACTAGAACTAAAAACTTTGCCTCTAAACTGAATAAAAACTAAAACTAAAATTATTTTCCGAACAAAAATATCACTGGTTGGCTTTAGATGGAATTTTTTTGCTGTTCATAATTTGTTGATTTGTTCATAATCTTGAGTGTGCATTTAAAAAAGATTTCATACCCGGCATACAGCTATAACTTATCGTTATCCTACATTAGTGCTAACATTTTTGATGAACATAGGAGTAGATCTTTGGAAATTCCTTTACTTAAAAAATTTGCAGACATTCTTAACTCAAATGAATGCGGAAGCTGCTTTAAAATATTAGGCGGTGGTTTGAATCAGCATTAATATAATTTAAAGAATTTCCATGCTATGGTTAAAAGTATATGGTTAAGAAGAATATGGTTGAAAAGAATGGTCATTGAGATTTAATGTGACGTCAAGGTAATTTATAACTTTCATGTTTCACACTATTGATATAGTGAGTTCGTTTTTTGTTAAATATTTCAGAAAAATGTTTTTTGATTTTTTCCATTTGGAGACCACTTATGTTTTTTTAAATTGCTACATCATCATCGCGATATAATCCGAAATCATTTTTATTATTAAATTGTGCAATTTGAAACAAAAAATAAATTCCCACAAGTTCACAAACTTCAGCACCGTCAAATGCTCCCATTGAAACATCGAATAAACTGCTTGATTTTTTAATCTAAACTTGACAAAGAAAATCATAATTAAATAATAATAATTTTCAGTTTTATGGTTAGGACCAATGTTTAGATGCTGCTCAGCAAAATGAATGGCGTTGTTTAGGAGTTTTTCTGTTATCGAAGGGTAAAAATCAACAATATTAAAAATAAGGAATTTATAAAGGTGTTTATCACTGATGCCATTAAACGAGTTTGAAGTTAAAAGATACAGATGACTGGTGTTACCACTATCTTTTCATATTTAAAAATAACATTTAAAGCTTACATGGCTTTAGTAAGTTTAGAATAAATATTTTCAAAATACTTGGTGAAGTCCTGCTGCCTTGTAGGATACGCTTTTTTAGGCAAAGGCTAGGAGAAGTTAACTCCGAATTAAAACACCCCCTGCCTTGGGGCTCTTGGTTGAGTAAAGGCTAGAGATGGTGTCTCGATAAAAATACTCATCTTGGGCAGATGTTACATGCATCCAGCTGCTGTCTTGTAGAAGGCCTCCTAGGCAAAGACTTAAGGGGTAAACAGATTCTATCTGTTGACCAGCCTCGCACCCCTTCCTCATCTATTAGGCTGGCGCAGATGTATTTTTAATACATTGTTTCCAGTTTAGGATGTTGAACGCTGGATCTTCTTGACTCAATGCGTGGGTATTGCTTGTGTCTCTATTTTTATGACTGGGCAACTCATTCTATTATCTCCTAATGAGGGTACAGCTCTAAAACTCAGTTTTATGGTTCTGAGGCCGGCTGGTAGTCAGGTTTCCCGAACTCTGTGGTAGCTCTCAGAGAGGCTGATTCCATCAACAGCCGAAAAATATCAGAGTACTAACAGTGCCATGTTGCGCATGGATGGTGTCCCTGTTTGTACTTTTGGTGTGCATTGCAGAGGCCACATTTGGAGCCCTTTGTTACGGCTTAGGGTTTGTTAATAGTAATGAGGATATTGCTTAGTTGTTAAATAGTGTACTGAGTACTATCTATACTTGAGTCAAGTTCTTTATAAATTTAAAATGACTAAAGTACCTAAAACTAAAAAACACAAAAAACCATCGTCATCACCAAGTTCTCTAAACCTATCATTTACTAATATTCGTGGTCTTCGAAGTAACTTTTCTTCTGTTGAGTCTTATCTCTTGCAAAGTTCACCAGACCTACTAGCTCTTTGTGAGACTAATTTGAGTTCGGCTGTCCCATCTTGTGATCTTAGTGTTGATGGTTATCTTCCTTTAATTCGTAAAGACTCCAATAATTGCATGCTTGGCCTGGGCATCTACATTCGTAAGAACTCACCCATTTGTCGTGAAACTAGGTTTGAATCTACAGACTATTCATTTATGTGCTTTCGTTTAGCACACACTTCACTCTATCGCCTTTCTCTTTGTTCTATATTGCTCTCCTTCATCCCAAGATTGCACTATTCTTGATATTATTTCTGATCAAATTGACCAAGCCCTCTCTCTTTATCCATCGGCCAATATCGTCGTTGTTGGTGACTTTAATGCCCATCACACCGATTGGCTTGGCTCTTGTGTCAGTGACTCTGCTGGCGTTAAGGCCCTCAACTTTTGCCTTTCTCAATCTCTAACTCAAATAGTCAACTTTCCAACTCGTTTTCCAGACAACCCTAATCATTTACCTTCTCTACTCGACTTATGTCTTGTTTTGGATCCTAGTCAGTGCTCTATTTCTCCACATTCACCCTTAGGTACTTCTGATCACGGTTTGATCTCTCTAAAACTATTATCAAATTCTTCTACTACATCAGAATCCCCCTATAATTGTACCACATACAACTACCTTAAAGCTGACTAGGACTCTTTCCGTGATTTTCTTCGTGATGGCCCTTGGGTAGAAATCTTTCGTCTTCCTGCTGACAAATGTGCTTCTTACATAACTTCGTGGATTCAGGCTGGAATGGAATCTTTTATTCCCTCTCGACAATTCCAGGTCAAGACTCACTCTTCTCCTTGGTTTTCCTCACATTGCGCTGCAGCAATTTCTAATCGAAACCGTTACTTCCATATCTATCAGCAAAACAATTCTCCAGAAAACAGACATCTGTTCACTATCGCCAGAAACCATTGTAAAAAGGTTTTGTCTGACGCCAAAGCTCGCTATTCCCAGGTCATTAAATCTCGTATCTCATCACAAAAATTAGGCTCTCGAGACTTCTGGAGAATCTTTAACAGTATCAATAATAAGGGCAAATCTGTTATTCCTTCTCTCTTGTATGGTTCAGACTTTGTCACCTCACCTAAAGACAAAGCTGAATTGTTTGCTAAGAACTTTTCATCAATATCATCTCTTGATTCCACTAGTTGCGATTTACCTGACATAGCCGTCAAACAGGTTGATCCCTTGCTTGACATTCGCATCACTTCAGCTTCTGTATCTAAAGTAATTTCCTGCTTAGACTCTTCAACAGCTTGTGGTCCTGACAACATTCCTGTTGTAGTCTTGCAGAGGTGTTCTCCGGAGCTTTCATCCATACTTTCTAAACTATTTAACAAGTGCTTATCAGAGTCTTGTTTTCCATCATGCTGGAAAGCAGCATCTGTTATCCCTATTTTCAAAAATTCCGGAGAGCGATCTGATTTATCTAACTACCGTCCCATTAGTCTTCTTCCTGTCATAAGCAAGGTTTTTGAATCTTTAATCAACAAACACTTAATCTCTCATCTTGAATCAAATAACTTACTTTCTGATCATCAATATGGATTTCGGTCTTCTCGTTCTACAGCTGATGTGCTAACAGTAATAACCGGTAGGTTTTATTAGATAGAGGTGGAGAGGTTAAGGCTATCGCACTTGACATTTCTAAAGCTTTTGATAAAGTTTGGCATGATGGTCTTCTCCATAAGCTTTCTTCTTATGGTGTAGCTGGTAACGTCTTTAAGATTATTGAGTCCTTTCTTTCCAATC